GTATTTCCATTGTCCTCCGAAGTGCTCAGTTGTCTGTTGGCTTTCATCCTCTCGCATTGGTGTTATCAGTGCTGCTGTTACGGAATCCGCTGGTGGCCAACACGTTGTTATGTGGTATTATATCACTGTTCCATTTCAATTTTTCGCATACGTGCGCCAGTCCTGGATCTTGTGTATCAGCGAACAAATGTTTGGTGTGAGTATTACACAAGTTCTTTCAATTCATCTGTTTCCTCTTGACTTGGCACTTCAGCTAGATTGCCGTCTACCACCAACGCCACTACCCTTCAGATCTGTTAACGTTGTAGAGGCTGGCGCCGCCGCCACTGCTGCTGCCGCCCCCGTTATCTGCGTCTGTTTCACAAAAGCTAGCTATTTCTTCTTTTCTTAGGTATTCTACTGATGGGAAGCTGGCTCGTTCTCCGCATCTTTCCTTTATTTCTTCATCTGGTTCGTTTTTGTTAGCATCCATGAACGGACAAATCAATTGTGCTGATGTTGCGATGACTCGGCACTACCCAATTCGTCATTTCTCCCTTATTTTGCGCGCAGCTCTCACCTAACGTCCCTCTCTACCCGTCATCGTTCCATCTACGCTCTGGATAGGGTCATCATCTATAGCTTGATCAACGATATTCTCTCACTTTAAAGACGCTCAAGGATTAGAGCACAGAGCCTGTTCGGACACTGTTCTAGTTTGCATCCGCGCGCGCTTCTCGTACGCCTCATCTCTTCTGATAGAGAAATGTAATCTTCGTTCCCGTCATTGTCGCCGTCGGCGGCGGCGTGTTCTACGTTTGCACGACTGGCCGCGCTCGTAGTAAATTACGGCTAAAGCTCAGCTGTCGACGCATCATCTCAGACGCACAGCTTTAATGTCATTGGACCAGATCTGAACTTTTGTTGCTGATTGGCCGCGACGAATACGCTTGTTATTGGCTATTGTTGTCGCTCTGATTCGCATGAGGCTGCTGTTGCCACCGCTTCGGCTTCGGCTGCTGAAGATATTGCCACTGATGATAACAACGAGAAGTGATGTGGCAACTATTGTTAGCCTTTCGTTATCTTCTACATTCTCGACTGCTCCTTCACTCTGTCTCCTTCTATATCTTCGTGTTGTTTTGGCCTCTGATCGGTTCGGCTCTCTCGGGTTCGTTCATCTGCGCAGCTGCTCTCAATCCGTGTGTCGTCATCAATCGTCAACAACGCATCACATAACAACAGACAAGAAATCAGTTCTTCGTTTGTCTGATCCGTGCTCCTTTGTTAACCGCCCAGTTCCCTTATTTATTCACCTAACGCCGATCGCAAAGTTGATCCTGGTCGCGTTAGTACTGATGATGGCGGCGGCGCAGAAAGGTTTTAGTGCTGCCGCTTCTGAAGTTTCCTTCTCGACCCAACGTTCCACTTTTTAGTCCTGGAAAAGAAAAAAATCCATTAGACCTCAGCATGCGACAGCGTCTCAGATAGATAATAATCAAAATATGCACTTTGAAATATAATACATACATCTAGTATCAAGGACTTTCAAGAGCATCGTCACGAGACGGATATAATAGTGTAAACCGCAAAGCTCCCGACAATGACGTGATGTCTATATGATGGCTTAAAGTTTACGACCATGCGATTCATGAAGCCGCCATTGTAAATCTATTCCCGATTGCGCAAGTTTGAATTCAGCGATAACAAGACCGTTAAGGAACATTAGAGACTTCATTACGGGTAGTTGGGTACTGAAGCCCTTAAGTGTGTCAATATTTTCTTCTAGAAACGGACAGAAGGTCGGTTTACAAGCGTTAACAGTTATTCTTCCATGCCAGAAATAATAGCAACTACAAGTATCCATGCAATCGAAGAGATACACACAACGTTTACAAATGCCTTTATGCCCTAACGTCTTCGACGTAGGTACGTACATACTTGTATGCAAACATCATAGGCAATATGGGTGATTTTGTCGATGTCTATGATGAAGCAAACGGAATCGGCCATGTTGTGCATTTGACAGAAATCGTAACAAGATATTACTGCTATTACCAATTCATTTTTCGTCTTTCAAGAAACATCTGAGAAGTCGGTGGAGAGGGACACCGAACCAACTCAGTAGATGACCTAAGCCCTGCTCGCGCGCTCCTTCGAAACTGTGCGAAGATGACCAACGAGGTGTCACCACTCAAAGGCGTTATTTGCCCGTTAGCCGCAACCGATCAATTAGCCGATGCTTCACGATCGCAAAAAAGAGAAAGACATTCCTTTATTTTGCTTGAAGCTCTTTCGAGAGCCCCTGACCGCCTGTTCAGTCTCCCCCTCGATTACCCGTCATCGATTCGCTTCCTTCGCAACTGTTTCGTACGAAAATTTCGATCATCTGACACGAACCGATCCCTGTCGCCTCGTAGACATGCAGAAGGAAAATTGATATTGGACGGACCGAATGGAAGCCAATTCAAATGCTTTTCTTTGAATTTGGATCACCGTCATCATCTCGCTACGACTGTTCACTATCGTCGACTGACGTTTGCTACTGTCTGTCAGAAATATCCCCGTCCGACGTGTCACTACCCTCTAAGACTGCTGCCTTTACCGCTTAATCTACTGGGCGGGAGTAGCTTCTGGCGTTACGTGTGATGTCCTTTTTGCCTCGCCCCCCCCCCCCCCCCACCTTTCTGGCTTCGGCTTCGTCCCTTTTTAAAGCTTGATCATTGATATAACATTCCAATCTGCACTCCGTCGGCAAACCGAAACGGGAGCCGATTTAGGAGAATCCCCACTGTTGGCCCATTAATGAGCCGCGTGCGTACTTACGCACATATGTATGTCTTGACAGTAGCTCTGGTAATTACAAACGGCACTACGATATTAAACCCGTTATCGTCTGCTGCCGTCTTATTCTGTCATATTTGTTTTTTACACATTTTGACATTTTCTTATTATGATTTCATGTAGATTCTGAAAGTTGTGCGATGACCGTATGTGAGTAAATGTGTGTTTAACAAGTGGTGATCTATTGTGTACATTTTGAGATCGTTCCGTTTCTAACGAATCTCTAAAAAAAACGATGAAACAATTGAACGAGCTTGTTTAGTTGTTCCGAGCTCGTTCAGCCTCTTGCGAGCAATAGTTTGAACGTTTCTGTATAGGTTGTATTTTTTAGTAAGCTAGTGACGTTTTAGACAGACCGTAGCCGTGCATGTATGTACGTTCATGTTTCAAGAAAACTGATATTGGCCAGATAATTCGGCCCGCAGCTGATATCGATGCATTTCCACTGTTACATGAATATTTAACGGTTCGTACTTTTTTTTTTTCGTTACTCTATCATAGGAACTTTGTCAGAAGGAGGTAGAAATTAGGAAACTTACTCCAGTTTGGAATTATGCGTAAACGCCATATCGTTTTTAGCGCGTCGATGACCAAAATAATTTTTTAATTTAATTCTATTGATATTTATTATACCTTAGCTATATTAAGACGATTCAGGCTCACACATTTTGCACGACATGCAGTAGATAATATCAAATCCCGCTATAATATCAAATTTTAGCCGATCTAGGCACTTTAGCTATGAATAATGTTTTACATTCGGCAAGCTATACGACTTTATGTCTACATTATACGTTTAAAGCAATAGGTATTTTTCTAAAATCCTTACTCAATAATTTCTTTATGCTTTAAAATATTATATTGAAACGCTCGAGATTACATAATCTTCCGTATGACACAAACGCGTTCTCCATCAAATTGGTTCTATCGAAAACCTATAGCACAGCAGTCTAGGAAAGATGCGAACTTTACAGCTCTCGTTAAACGTGACATAGTACACTGCACACCATCCACACTGCATGGCCGCAATGACACATCTACTTTAATTATTTTCATTAGGTAACCTCCCCCCTTTTTTTTTTTTCAGTTCCCTAGAAAGCCCCCAACTGAATACGAAACAATAGTGGTCCTGACGGTGGAAGCGATCATGATTATAAACAAGACGACGGTCGAAAATGAAATTTAACCGAAGCAGAAAATGAATTGAGTGTAGAAAAGCCAGCCAGCCAGCCAGTCAGCAGCAGCAGCAACGGTGGCGATCAACAATATTAGCTATTGCGGCAACAACGACAAAAAAATTAACCGTCAACAAACAGCGACATAGAAAGCCGAGAACCAAGAAAGCGCTTTCGAAATAAGCGCCCCGTCATCGGTACACACCAATACGACAAATCTGTAATAGCTTCATAGCTATTCAATCTGCCCGTTTCTCATCAGACGGAAAACAGAACGGGCCATACCCGATCGGGCTGCTACACCTCGTTATTTCCACTGGGACTGGGAGGATATAAGATAATGGCCGGAACACAGCGAGGTGTCAATATGAACACCCTACAATATGTTTGTATTAAGTATAATGTTGATCGGCTGCCGATCATGGGACCACTACTAACTAGCAGGCGAGTCTGCTCACTTCTCATTACTTATTATATAATCACTCATTTTGTCGGGATCTGTTACTTCTTCAGTCTATCGGAACTCTTCAATATTATACACAAACGTTATATAGTATATGAAGTGGAACTGGCTATCATTTTCTGTAACTTCGAAACGTCTCGTATTCGTCGCGTCGTACCGTATGTACTACCTTAGTAAGTTCTATTTAACGATATAGATGAGACTGGCCGAGATATCTTAACATGGCACAATGGCCAAGTCGATACAAACAGGGAAAATTAGCATCGAGCCATTACCCACACACTGAACGACGAGCAGTCGAATCCAGTGGTGGTTAACTAACGCCAGCTGAGGTAATCGAGTTGAATTAGCAGTGACGAACTTATTTCTCTTTAGCTCATTACGATTCCGGTGTGTCATGGTCAGCGTCCTCGCCGTCCGTCTTAGCTGCCACTGCGGGTCTCGAGCGCGCCACCGCTGGCGTCTTCAGCTTCGTTCTGTTCACCGATCAGATCCAATATGACCTGCACGCCTTTAATGACGCTGCCGAGACGAAGAAATGGAGCGTAGCAGCAGCAGCAGCAGCAGCAGGTCGACGCTAGCGGTTCCTGATCCTCTTGCTAGCGGCGTCTCGTTTTCGCGCCGCGTTTCTCGTATGTTCGTTGATTTTTTTTTTCTGCTGCTCGTTTTTGTTTTTGCTTCAATTTAAGCAAATTGAAGAAGACTGGAGAAATCTGACGAGGCTACAGTGATGTGTTTTCGTACGATGATAAGCGGTTAAAGGCGCGGACGTGGTCAGGGCGAATGTGAGGGGGAGAGAGGAGACGCGGTCTGTCAGAAAGATGGAGCCGAAATGGGTGCAGACATACGAGCAGGCCTGCACAGTACGAACGATATTATACTAAAATGTGTTTCAACATATCTTGCACACTGCATTGTTCTCCAGTATCAAAGATCAATTTAACGAACGCTAACATCGGCACGGAACTATTGCACTGGTGAGTATAAAAAATGAATTCGAAAGAACAGAAAATCAATAAATTAGATTATAGAAACGTAAAAATCTGTAACGTAGAGAAGAAGACGTGCCTCATACGAACGGTACTTCACTGCAACTCAGACATAGAGAGTACCCGATTCTGGCCTCTGGAACCCGATCTGGAACATGTTACGACTTCAATTTTCTCGCATAGACGACGTTCTTATTATTCATTCACGACCTATCTATTCGTCCAGACGTTTAGAACGCATATCATGAGATTCTTAGTATCAGTCACTATTAATAGGTTGGGCTGGTATTAATAGCTCGCTTTGGTTTTACCCACTTCAAAAACTGTATGTCAATATATCTGCGACCTGCGCTCGAAATTCATGCCGTGGATGCATTTTCGGCCGGGAAACGTCCGTAACCATAGCTCGAACGGATGTCACAATTTGTATACATCCGTTCGAGCCAAACCTAGCCGTCATCCAAAAAACCTTTGGATCTATGACGTCCGTCTGCAGTACAAAAAATAGGAGCGTTTCTAGATACCGCCATAGAAGTGCAGCAGAAGATAACTGTTCAAACACGGTGAAAAATGTTGTGATCGATATAGGCTGTCATAAACCTGAATCTGTTTATTAGAGAACTAAACAAATACGTATTGTTCATACTTCTTCAACTACGAAGATTGAGAAAGTTGACTAGAACTTAGCAAAAACAATATTTTTAGCTCAAGCTACCACTTCGCAGTTAGCTTGATCCTAAAGTAGCTATGAAATAAAAAAAATCGGTAAAATTAACCTCCGAAGACGTGCAGACGATGACGCGTCGACGGTAAACATTTGGTTGGAACAAGCGGTCGTGTGGCTGGCAGTACGAGTTCGATAAATTTCAAACCTAATTTTGTTCCTCTGTTTATCCAATATGCCTAAATTACAAATTTTAATTATCTAGGCTCAAACAGCTTAGTGTAAAACATCTCGTCTTGAATGTATCAAGCAAACGTAAACTATTGCTGAGTTTGCCAACGACGCAGTCATGACTATTTTCGTTTGCTACATTTGTTTTTGTTATTTTGGTAGTTGGCGGATGGTCAAGTGTTATATACGTTGCAAAGCTCTGTTATCGTACCTCAAGACCTCACTTTCATTGCCTTGTTCGATTCGGACTTCGCTTCAAGCTTCAGAGGTGGCTGTGTCGGGTCACACAGCATCTTCGACACCAGTATAACTTTGCATTTTTTTCAAATGTCAAAAGCTGACAGTGCTTCACGTATGGATGTTTCCTCCGCGTTCGATGAGGATTCAGCAGCTAAAAGATGCAGACTTACCTAGCAATTAGCCATAGGTGCAAAAAGGATTCAGAACGGTTCTCGACGAGTTCGAAATATCGGATGGAGCACGGTATTTTAGGTAGATGTTGTTGTCAACGTTTAACAAACGGCTTTTGGAAAGCGGCCGCTGCCAGACGATCCCTAGCTATAGTAAAATCAATCCTCTTCTGTGTTCTTTCAGCAGCCTTTTGCCCTTAGTGAAAGGCGACGGATTGCTAATGTGTAATAGATGCCGTTTTTTTTGACAGTCAACCACAGGGGGCAAGGAAGCAGGTTTCCAGCACTATATGGGGCTTGCTATCAGCGCCCCATGCGAAGCTTTCAGTACTCTCCACACGCAATTCGCATGCATAATTTGAAGTATATATCATAGTTCATACCATTATATTTATAATGGACCTACTATATGAAGCTTTAAACGACCTCTGTATATAATATGCAGCCAATGAAAAATATCTCAGCTTTGCATCATGTTGTTGCCAGTTGCGTATGCCATCGGAAAATTTAGGTCCTTTATTTATCCATTTGCAGCATCCATCCAATGTAAACGGACCAACCAGCTCCAAGTACCTAGCTATAATTTCACCTACGCAAGGCCGAGCCTTTGCTGGACAAAGTACAACGAGCGACGGTAAGTATACAAACCCTTTCCAAACTTTGCTTACGAACGGCACTGGTCCTGGTCGAAGTAAAGATGAATCGAGTAGCTTCCCACAGAATCCAGGTAGTGTGGGAACACTTTTCGTCGGCGCAATTAGAAAAACCCGATTGAATCCAATCTGCGTTCCTAAAACGTGCCATGGGACTGCATCGCTCATCATTGAAGAGATACGCGCACCTTCTAAGCGATAGACCGCTATTTGTAGAAGCTACGAAACGCCGATTTAAACTATTCCCTCTGTTTGCTTATGTGGTCTTTATCAGCACATAAGAGAGGAAATGGCGTAGATCGATCCTGAACTCCTTTAACACATAGGCGACGACCAACGAAGCCTGAAGAGGGGTGAACAGCACTAACTCACACACAGTCACTTATTTTTCAGTAGCTGGGCTTCATCACATCGTATGTGGTACACTGAGTTTTCATCGGCCATACGGTCTATATGAGATAGGGTGGTATGCCTCAACTGTCGTGCATCAGCATTGCAGTACCTTCTGACATAGTATAGAAATTTGTCAATTTTAAATGCTAATTTCATACACTCACTGAAGATATTTGAAATGGAATAGATTGCTTGAGTTGTCCCACACTCGGTCATCACTTATGGTCCATGTTTGCTCTTGACAATAGGCCATAGCTCTCCCATATAGGCTAAATCTCAAAATGTTATAATTTTACTTCCAGTTTTCCGGTAAAGTTGAATCAGTATTGAGCGTTCTGTGATTTTTTCCAGATGGAGCATAAAGCCTTTGTGAAATATGCTTCAGATGCGTGCTGCGGAATGCCTTTGGAAAACAGATACCGAGTAAAGTTCAAACAAACAGGTGATTCAGACGTTCTGAAGATGGACAAGGGTTCTTCAAGAACGTTTCTCAGCCTAGGGGGTCTCTGACAGCGATAACAGGATGGACGAGGAACAAAGTGCCTCTCACGATTCGTTTGGCAGTCAGAAGTTGTTCATCATGAGGGGTAAACTAAACAAGTTATCATAAGATTGCGGAAATCTGGCCGACGTAAGAGACTAGAACAGTAGCACAACAAGTTCTGAATCTTCGATCACGACAGTCCACGTTTGACCACTTACGAAATGGTTTTTTCAAAAAAAAAAAAAAACACAGATCTATGCGCTGCCTCACTCTGCGTAATCGCTGGCCTTAATCCTTTGCGATGTTTCGTATTCCTCAAACTAAATAAAGGCCTGAAGGGCGAGCGTTTCTACATGATCGAGAATATTTAAAAAAAAAATCGCTGACTGAGCCAAGAGCCACCCCGACGATCGAATTCGAAAAATGGGCTGGAAAAAATCAGTAGCATAAATGTGTTCGGACCATCCGGCAGAAACTGAATTGGGCCGATTAAATAAAAAAAAAACCTATCAGTCTACAACAAATGACTTTTTAGAACGAAGTATTATATTATTAAGGTGATATTTAACTGAATAGCCCTTTAAAGTTTCCTATTCTTATCGGCAAAATTAACAATCGTACGTATATATATATATATATATAACTTGTTCTTATTATCTAATTTCCATTATACTTTCATATCATAGAAAATAGTCAACAACAAGGGCGTTGTGGTATACAGATACACCTACATGCAATAGCTAGACACGTAAAAGCGTACCTGTCATTATAACAACTCGGTAATACCTAGATAGCTAGAGTAAGTTAGCTGAACAAAGACTGATTTTCTCTATTCGTGTGGTTGTTGAAGCCTTGACTACAGTAGAACATTTCATAAACTATATATAGTATAGAACAGAAAATAGTGTTGCGTTCTTCGTATTATAAGATATTTAACGTTTATTGACGGTTATTATCAGCAATTCAACATGCTTGAGTTTGCGCACAACGAAAGATACGCGGAACTATTGTGTTTTCAGCGACTCCACCATTAAGCCTGTCCCCATCGCAACTCTACGGCTCCGTAACGTTCGCAGAAAGACGTTCTTTCTTATTCGTTAACTCTATTCTTCGGCTTATCGTACTTATAACTTAACCTATCCGTTGTAAGACATATTGATCGCGAGCCGATAGTAATGGCCGTGTGCTATTGGAGTAGGACCACACGAACGGTCTGATTTGATCAGGGCGTTAGTAGTCTCGTGGCGTCAGCAGCAACAAACGCCGTTCGCGACGCCGCTCATTGCCGTTTCGGTTTTGCGATTCGCCATCGATCTTCCACGCATCAGCGGCACTGCCGCAGCGACAGCACCGCTACAAACGAATCGCGAACGTTATCCATGCTCGCCGTTGTTGTTCAGCCAGCGTTCACTAGCAGCGTCGGAGACGGAGATGTACCCCACTCCATTCCATCGTACTGCTGGGGCGGTAGGGCACTACTATCGTACTACTCGGTTCAACTTGTGCGCACACTCGATGTACGTGTGTGCATAAGTTGTATTTGACTATTAAGTTCGCTGCCGTGTTGGGTCATACTGTAGTTTAGCCGAGCCTACGGCAGCACCCAAACTGTTGGAGTAACTCACAGATGCGCATTGCTATCGAGGTACCAGTGTATAGATGATATATATATACAATGAAAAAGAACGATGCCGTAGAGACGCATATGTTGTACGCGGTTTGCTCAGTCGATTGTTGTATGAAGCATCAACTATCAAAGTCCTACCACGCCTCCTTCTGGTGTTTGGCTGTTGGAGAGGGAATCGGAGCTAAGCTGAAAAGGTGGGAAAATTCAAAGGGAGGCGTGGCAATCTAATTGAAATTTATTGTGCCGCGGTACCAGATTGTAACAACGATGTGTGATATCCGATGTGATGGCGTGTTAGCATCGTGCTGCGCTATAAGCACCCATACATGTACCTGTATCATACCGTGCATACTCGTAGACCAATCGCACAGCGGATTACGACTTCCTATCTATTATACATACATCGTATATGAGCAGAGCTGCAGATTACTGACGTTTTTGCCAGTAGCAGTCGTATAGAAGATAGTGACGTTTCGAGACTTCCGCTGTGACCCTCTTCGGATGATTTTCCTATGAAATATACGTATATATTCATGTCATTATATTTTTATGATCCTATTATAACGTTAAACGAGCTTTGCAACCCTAGATGCTTCGGCTTAATAACGTAATAATAAGTTGTAACACAGTAGAAACTCAACAACTATGCAACCCTGAACATAGTAGACAATTAACGGGACTGTAGCTTGCAACAACGTTACAAATACAGAACCACATATTGTACTGAAGCTTTTATTGCTGCTATCACTACGAACACGAATTATTCAGCCGTGTACGATTTACCTGACCCAAATGGGCTGCTCTAATAAGGGGGTGGATTTCGTTCGATCGACAGACAACTAACTGACACGTTTGCTTGATAGGGCCTTCGACGCTTATTGCCGTCTGCCCGTAGCTTTGCTGCACAGCGATCGTAAACCTGAACGACGTAAAGCGGTGGGGCAGCTACGAATAGTGGCAGTGGCTAGCTGCTCTTCCCGGGGCCACCGAGGAACTCGTTTAACGCCACGACACAGGAAAGATCTGTGGGGAGGGGTTGTGAAGACAAGCTGTAATCACACCCTGCTGCTGCTACTGCTGCTGCTGCTGCTGCTGCTGCTACTGCTGCTGCTGCTGCTGCTATTTCTACGACAACGACGCGCGCGATATAATAGCACCAGCGATAGAAGCTACCGTGGAGGCTGTTTCTGCGCTAGGGCCCTTTGATCGCTCCTGTTTTGTTGCGGTAGCCTTGGAGCCTTCGCGGCTGACGATAGAGAACCGCTAAACTCGCGTTAGTGCTGGCCGGGTGTGTAATCATCATAATCGCATAATAGGATAATGGCTCTGAATGGGTGATGCCACCGGCAGCGGTTGCAGGAACAGGAGAGGTAAAACCATTGAATCAAAGAGTCCTTCTCGATAGGCTTTAGTCTTAAGTCTTACATACGAGAGACGCTGTTGTTATGTTTTCTCTTAATCCTATACATCAACCTTCAACGACCCCACAAACAACACTACTAGCTGCTAGGGGGTCGCTAGCTGGGAAAATGCGGATAGCTCTCTGACCTTCATGCGCGATGCTAGGACACAGGGCTATAACAAGTTAAGTGGTAGGCTGTTTGCTTTTTCTCTCTCCCAATTATCATTATTATTATTAGAGTTTTCCTTCGTCAAGGGCGCGTGTGCTCCAGAAGTGGGGTAATAATGCGCAGCAGTCGCGGATCTATTCAATGGACGACTCCGGGAGACGCATGCAGATGTCAATAGACGCTGGGTTTGTAGACTTTGTGCGTGAATGTCTCTATATCGGTGTGTGTGTATACACATATTCCAACTAATAGAGTCATTTCAAGAACTTCTGGTTGCTGACAACATTCCCCACAGTACAATATTGCTTGCGGTCGTAGCTGCAACGCGGTCTGTTTTTGTGGCGACGCTCGCCACCCGCGCGAATCTGAGCAATTACCAATTAACTTGAGTTATGTGAGATACGAAGGAGCAGGGTGCGCACCCGACACATTCAGCGACCTTTCGACTCGCAAGTTACACACGGGCAGGCGACCAATCGACCGACCGTCAACGACCTGATGCAGAACGCCGTTTCGCTTTTGAGTGCAACGAGAAGAAGAGAGATGGGGAAATTGCCGAGAAGGCGTGTCCTGTGCCATTCGGCAATTCGAACATTACCAACCAGCGGAGGTCTATCTGACTGCCGACTGTGGAGCAGCACTTAGTGGAGCTAGCACGAGTACGAGCATGTGCAATTTGTCCTATTCCCGCCTTCCTCCAATTCTTCAATTTTGGCCTGCCGCTCTTCCAGGCTAGAATCAACAGCGAAGGCCTTCACAGGAAGGCCTAGCGAGTTGTCGCTTTTTGAGTAATGGCCAAAAGCTACTGCTTCTGCTGGTGTTGCTATTGGCGCCTGCTTTATCGACTGCTGCACATCGTCCCTTCTTTGTCCGCCTTGGACAAGAAAGAAACCGCTAAAGTGGATGTTTTGTGGTCGACCAATCGGGACATCGGAAGCTCTCGAGCGCCTATTCTCGTGCTGGCATGGAATGAATGCAGACGACGACCGAGGGCTCACCAACACACTCATAGTGATGGTTCCTACAAGAGCGCGTATTTTTTTAACGGTAAAGGTCGACACATAGGGGAAGACGAGACAGAGTGCGGAAGAGGACTCTGAAAACGATGAGTGTACTTGTGCGGAATTATGCTACCATGTGAAATGAAGAGGCACGCGAGTACATGGATTTTTTGGAAGTCCATTTTCGATGCCGCAGCCATCACAACAGACGCCCGAAGCTAACCTAGAAAAATAGAGGTCTTCGAACAACGATCGATTCGATTCAGCTTTGAATTGTACTAATCCATCAGTTTTGAAATGTCCGTAATGCTTTTGTATCAGCATCAATTACTGTAATTTGATTTCGTCTCATAAAACAAAAATTACATTGTTGACAATTACCGCGCAGAACGGTACCAGCCTCACACGTTAATGTATTGCTTAGAGCTAATTCAGTACTGTCTATAGCACGCCATTATATCATGTTAAGGAGACTACTTTACGTAGGAAAAGCAGACGAAAAATGAAGAAATTAAAAATGTACTTGTTTAACTAGCCGGCTAAACATAATTTCTCCAGAACGAATCATTACGAAGATCTCATTTTATCAGAAAAGGACCTGACAGGCCTGATACTCAGACAATCATATCATCCCGCCGTTTAAGCGGCAACAGTAATTATTCGCTAATAAGATAAATTGTGCTTCGTTTATTTACCCAATAAATCTAAATTGATTATGGAATTTGTAGCCTCAACGTAAGACATTTATTAGCGCCGTGTCCAGAATTCTCGGCCCGTTGCAAAAAGACTAATTAAATATCTGACAATTTCCACATTGACGACAATAAACTACGTAGCTAATTTCATTGATGGGAATGATCGACGAAAAGCAAGAAGCGCCTGAGCCCCCGGGGGCTAACGCACAAGCAGAAAAACGCGTTCTCTTTAATAGATAGTAAGGATGAGATTGTTTTTAACCTCTGCGTATCCTGCGATGGTGAGCAGGTCACCAACGGTGACGAAATATATCAGATGTAACATTAGCCCAATCACTTGCAACAAACGATTATTTATCTGTCCGTATAC